GCCATATCCATTCCAAAAGTGTGTGGTTTAGTGCAGTTATAAAAACATATTAATAATTGAAAGGTTGTTGTAATTGTAGCTTTATTTATTCAGTTTAATACTGATTTTTGTCTGGGATACAAATCTTAGCTGTAATTTTGTGGGCAAGAAGTTGAAAAGTTTATCCTATTTTCTATGATCTGTAACAAGTGAATTATATATTAAATATATAAATATAAAAACATAATATCATGTGTCGTTTGGTGTGCGTGTTAATTATTTAGTGACGTTGACTCTCCACACAGTTAATTCATAAATCCTCCCTCCTGCATTGCTATTGCTTCCTGCAACCAGTAGAAGGCGTTTTTCCCTCTGAAATGACTCGAGCACAAACGCACCCACTGGTTCATTTCAGCACTATTTTCAGGCAATAAAAAAGTAAATTTGTTTTTTAACCTTTCTGATGAGTTCCTAGATGGAAACTGTTGCTTGATAATGATAAAACCAGGCAACCATAGCAAAGATGATTGGCTTTGTAATGAAAGTCAGGCAAAAAAATAATCAGGATTCATGTGAAACTCTGCCAACCTTTCAGAATAGTCATGGTCCTGATGCCGGGCTTTTGTTTGTTCAAATCAACGACTTGGTGGGGTTTGCTCAGAGGAAGAAATGAAGCTAATGAGGAGCTAACAGATTCACCGTTTGACTGAAAGTCAGCGATAAATTTGCTTTGATGGCTTTAATGGCTTTCCTCCCCGACTCAAATCTCACAAAAAAGGTGTATTTCCTCATTTGCACGAGTCAGGATGACCCTTTTCACCACCTCTCACCTCCAAACCCGCTGCTCAGCAGGACTATGACTCATGCTTGACCTCTAAGTTTGGTCTAGCGAGACCTCACCTCATCTATCAGTTTGTGCAAACAGACTCATGCACACTGGTCCATGCATGCTGTTCTCATGTTTTTAGACTCAGCAGCTGATGAAAAAAGACATCCCCTCTCGTGCAGAGAGCCTTTATGGAAAAACCATAGTGTAAATGGAGCTGCATTATTGATGATGACTGAAAAACAAGCAAACGGTCAGAGCTTCTATTACTGGCTGCTTCAGTGATTTTTTTTCAACAGTTCTGTTCCTGTCTTTTTAAAATAAATAGCATAAAAATAAAAGAAAATAGTTTTGATGTAAGAGTTACAGTGAAATAATGAGAAAACTTGAAAATGTCAATCAGAAGTGTTTAGTAACAAAAGAGATAAAAAAGGATTTGATTAAAAAATATGTCAGCTGGTTTCACTCAACTGAACTGATGAAAGATAACATATTTACTTTATGTAAACGTAAAGTTAACGTTAATAAATGGGTTATCTTTACTCAGTTCATTTGAGTTGAACCAGTTGACATAATTTGTAAATTAAATCCATTATATCTTTTTTGAGTGTAGKTTCACTTTTGTTTGAGTGTGAATACGTTTATTTCATTGAGTAATTCTTTGTAATTTTATCAAGTATTTTTTAATCATAACTTTTACTTTTATTTTGTTATTTTCTACTGAGCCTGCGAGGAGACATGGGGGATTTTTTTTTCTTTTTGTGTTCCCACGCAAAAGTGGTTAAACACTGTTGTGCCTTCCGGTTTATTAACAAACTCACATGTTTACCATTAGC